ACGATCAAACGGAACCCGCTGACTGCGATTGATTCTTACGGGCTTGGAATACTAGTTTACGAGGTCTACAATGGCAACTTCACTGGCGGGGACCAGGTGGGCAAGACGACGAACATCCCGCCCAGTATGCATCAGAGCTATAAACGCCTGTGCACGGCGAATCCCAAACTGCGCCTGAGCCCTGCCCACTTTGTTGAGCAGGGGAAGAAGAGCGGTGGCTTCTTCGAAACCCCACTTATCCGGTTGACGGACGATATTGAGAGTTTGGGGCTCAAGAACGATGCAGAGCGAGAAGAGTTTGTCAAGTGAGTCAATGCCTCATAAGGGACAGGCTGCCACTAGTGGATGCTGACTGAAGTAGTGAGCTTGATGAGCTGTCCGACGACTTCCCGGAGGAGTTTTTCAAGATGAAGGTGCTTCCAGAATTGCTCAAGTCGGTTGAGTTTGGCGGAGGCGGCCCCAAGGTACTGGGGGCTATACTGAAGATTGGAGCGAAGTTATCCCAGGAAGAGTTTAACTCGAGACTTACGCCAGTCGTTGTCCGACTCTTTGGAAACCCGGATCGAGCGCTGCGGGTCTGCTTGCTCGATAACCTCCCGGTGATGATCGACAACCTACCTCAAAAGATCGTCAATGACAAGATCTTCCCTCAGATTGTTAGTCACCACAGACCCCGGCTGGTTTCGATGCTAATCCCATGTTCTGCAGACCTCCGGCTTCACTGATGCCGCACCTGTTGTCCGAGAGCAGACGGTGAAGGCTGTTTTGCCAATCATCAACAAGCTCAGCGACCGTGTCATCAACGGTGATCTGCTCAAGTTCCTCGCACGTACCGCCAACGATGAGCAGCCGGGAATCCGTACAAATACCACAATCTGCTTGGGCAAGATAGCTAAGAACCTCGGACAAGGCGTGAGTGGCTCTTCCTAAAAGCCTCATACGCAATGCTGACCAGATACAGTCGAGATCCAAGGTCCTTATTGCGGCCTTCACCAGGTCTCTTCGGGATCCCTTCGTCCACGCCCGGAGCGCTGGTCTGCTCGCTCTCGGAGCGACGCTGGAGTTCTTCACCGAGGAAGACTGCGCGACAAAAGTGCTTCCGGCTATCTGCCCTTCCCTTCTGGATAAGGAAAAGTAAGAACATCCACTTTCTCGCATGGCTCGGGTCTAATGCTTCATATAGGATGGTCAGAGACCAGGCGAACAAGACACTCGACTTGTATCTCCAGCGTATCCGGAAGTACGCCAGCACAATGGCAGACACGGTAATTCCTCCGGCAGCCAGTGCAGATCCGACAAAGGATACAGCCCGTATTGGCACATCTAACGACAAGTCATGGGCTGGATGGGCGATTTCCTCGTTCACCAATAAGCTCACGGCGGCCAATGGCGAAATCGAACCCACCGCCAACGGTGCTAAACCGGTTGAGCCTGAACCAGCTCGTCCAGCTTCTGTTCCCCGCCCAACGAGGGCGTCATCGTCGGTGCAGAAAGAGACACTACGGCCTGCAACTCAGTCTTTGAACCGGTCCATGTCGGAGCAACCACCAACTTTGGCTAAAGAAGAAGATGATACAGAAGATATCTACGACGCGTGGGGTGCAATGGACGATGATGAAGACGAGCAGCAAGTAGAGGAGGACCCGTTCAGTGCGACAGCAACTAGCAGTCCAACAGTTTCTGCTCCTGCACCTGCCCCTGCACCTAAAGCAGCCCCCGTTCCGTACGATGATGGCGGCGAGCCGGACTTTGCGGGTTGGCTGGCCGCCCAGTCCAAGTCAAAGAAGCCATTGCCAAAGGGATTGAATAAATCCAGTCCCACCTCGGCATCACGGCCATCTAGCCGCAGTAGCACGGCTAAGCCCAGGACCGTTGTCGCACCAGCGAAAAAGATCGACACGACACCTAAAGACACTGAGGAGGACGACGGTTGGGGAGACGCTTGGGATTAGCAGTATAGATCCTTAACACCCGCATCTTTCTGTTCATCAGGGTACATATTCCCTTGCACTATATCGTGATTATATTTCTCATCTTGCGACATATCCAAGGCATCAAGGCAGGGGAGTTTGGGCGCCATGCAGTATATAGTCCGGTTAATTGCTTATTTGTTGCTGCTGCATATGAGTTGCGATAGGATAGAATCAATTATTTCAGACATGGTCACATACAACTTGATTGACAGGAATAAATCTGGGGCAGCCCACTAGAAGTAAATATGAAACGCCGGGTAGCGGTAGGGGGGGGGAGCACCGTTAGACAAACCGATAGTTGAGTGGAGGAGAGAGAAATATTACTAGTCAGTCTGGCTTGACGATCGACTCGATAAGGCGGAGGGGTGGCGCCAATCAAGCGCCGGCTGCCCCGTGATCACATCCGCCGCTGATCCTCCGCCGCCCGAGACACTTCCAAGTCATCTTGTCTCTCCCTCCACCTGCCGGCCATCCCGTTCTCTGGCCTTTTTGATTTTCCGATCATCTTACTCAAGAGTAGGACTCAACTCTCCTACGTCTGCCGTGCGGTTCGCTCGCTCGTCCGTACAGTGCCAGGGCTAATTACCGTGCTCAGAATCTACATAATCCTGCTGCCTTCCAGCGTCTCCGTACCTGAGTGTGTCCGGGAAGGCTGGTGGGTGCTGCATATCTTCCCATGCGCGATGGATGACGGGTTACGAACCTGAAGGTCAACTCGGTCCGTGATTTTGATTTCATACTTCTACAACAATATCTGTCCTCGCTACAATGGAATCCGACGAAGCTCCTCCTCCGCCATACTCTGCGGTCGACCCGTTACTCGCACAAGCAAACAGCCGAAATGCCGCTGCAACTGCGGAAGTGAATCGTGTCCTGCTACGTCTGCGTGGGGGGGAGACAACCCTAGGCACCTCGCCCTCAAGTCCTGCGTCCAGCTCCGCCAGTCATGATTTTCCAGCATCCTCCGCCAGCTTGCCTACCCACTTCACATCTGCTGCGGAATACTTCGTGGAGCGACCGCCTCCGACTTCAAGCCGTCAGGGGGACATTGTGGAACATTGTGTAACGATCTTTCCGCGCAGTCAATCAAAGGATATCCGGCGTCGACCTCGTTGTTGGACCGCGCAGAAGACGGAAGACATCACCCAGCAGGACTGGGACGTTTTCCTGAGATACTTGTTTCCACCGCATTTAGGTCTAGCGTCTACTTCGGCACAACTGCCCCGTCAAGTCAGAGCAGAGATTCAGCGTGATCGCAAGGATCGGCCCCAGGAAACAGATGAAGAACGCAAGAGACGGATTGCTGCCGTGATAATGGAGTGGAACCAATACTTCTTCGAACCCCGCTCGGCTCGTGTCGTATATGTCTACGTGATGGACCCTCAGAGTGCGCCGCGATCATCTTTGTGTCCTAAATGTTGGCCGGCTGCTACAACGCGAGAGAATCGAGTTGCCCAGGCGTCCGACGCTGGTCGAGGTCGCTTGCAACAGTCGCCGGTGACACCAACAGCTGCTGAGCAGCCTGGTGCGCCTCCAGGCAGTGCTGTTTATACACCAGGGCCATATGCCTACCCACAATATCCTACCCCTCATACACCTTACGCACCTTATGGGCATCCTGCGCCATACAGCCCTGCTGTGTATCCGCCTCATCCCGCATACCATTACCCTCCTCCACCACCGCCGCCGCCGCCGCCCGGTCACTACCCTCCTCAGCCTCCATGGGGCTGGACTGCTCCCGCTTATGGGGTTCCTTACCAAGATCCAAGCATGTCAAAGGGAGGAGGACCCTTAGATTGGATAGCATCGTTGGCCTCGCAGGCCCAAAAGTATGGAGAGCGCTTCACTGAGCAAGCACAACATTATGGAAGGCAGGTGGAGGAACAGGCTCTTGCTCACAGTCGCTGGATCGAGGAGCAGGCCGGACTCCAGGGACGAAAGGTGGAGGATGCCTTCACAGGCTTTGTCAGTCCATCTCGCGATGATTGGATCGCGAACCAACCCCCTAAGCCGGGGTACGTACAGAATAGCACTGCACATACACCTACGACCACGCCTACGGCTACGGCTACGACTACCACTACGACAGTTACGCCCCAACGCACTACTCCAGCTCAACCCGAACGGACTCGTCGGGCTTCAATCGACTCGGAGGCATCCGACTTGTCTTTCTCTTCGATTGATTCCCTGTCAACAACGTCCGAGCTCAGCGCCTCTGATCTGGCTACGGTCCGCGCGCAGCTTTTGTCACTGAACGACCATCACGACCGGGAGTTGTACGAAGCCGCCGTGGGTCTGCGGCGTCAGCTTGACGTTCTACAGCAGTCTCGACGCCAGAACCGTACATCTGGACGAAGCGGCTGGCGCCACGGCTGGAGGCGATGGGACTCGCCAAGCGAGCAGCACCAGAAGCAGTCAGACAAGCGAGCGGTCAAAGAGGAGACCCGAGCCACGCGGAAAGCATTTCGAGATGTATTGCGTCGAGCGCGAGAAGAGCAACGCGAGAAGCGGCGGCTCAAACGCACTCGCCGGCGTCAGGAGCAGCGAGCGCGTGAGGTGCAGAGGGATGGTGCTGAGATGCCACTCGAGCAGCACATGCAGCGATTGGAGCTTGACACTAATCGTGAGAGCCGCTCCACTGTGCAGTCTTTCACCTCCATTCCATCCCCGGCGCGGTCCTTGGCCGAATCGGACAGTGAGATCAGTTCTATCAGCACACCGAGCACATCAAGTAACGAAAAGATGCCGGTCAAGGGGAAGAGTGAGAAGTCGGCAATCGCAAGGAAGCCGTGCAAAGAAGCAGAGAAATTATATGAGAAAGACAAGAAGGGCTCCGATCAATATAATCGGGGGGCGTCACGGCGCAATTAGTGGGCCAGGGCCAGGACATTATTATTTGAATTACTTTATGGGACGATGCATGATCATAGCGGTGTTTATATTCATGGAAGAGACTGGAATTGGGATTCTCTTATGTATTTATTACTTTCTTTATCATACCGGCGTCAACCCGGGGTACAATGTGGTCATTAGCATGCATTTTCAACATGAATCTAGAACCATGCACCAACCAGTTCCATACCAATACCAAGCAAGACCCCAAGACCAAACAAGATCTACCAAAAACCATCGTATAACATCTATTTTATACAAGAAAGACAACCCCCCTCTTTTCCCCCGAACCTAGAACCATTTTATAAAAAGAGAGAATTACTGAGAAGAAGCCTGCGCCTCATTCTTCTCAACCAAATCCCCAACTCCCAACCCACGCCCAACCTTCACCTTAACCATCTTCTCAGTACTCTCCTTCTCCTCCTTCTTCCCCAACTCACCCACCTCATCACCCTCGTCCGCATCCTTCTCATCTTTCTCCGCCCGCTCGCGATCCTTCCGCTCAATCTCCGCCCAATTGATAAACATGCCCGACAGATCCATGCGCATCGCATACGCATCCTCCCCATCCGCATAGTACTTGCTCTCCACACTATCGACCTGGAATCCGAGAGTATCGCGGTAAAGATGCAGCGCCGCTTTGTTGGATACGCGCACGTGCAGGGACACGTATTGTGCGCGGTGGCATTCGGCCATTGCGCGTTCTATCAACACCATCCCCAGAATGATTAGCATGCGTTTTCTCCACAAATATTCAAAGTCACAATAACAGAAAAACAAATGGAAGGGGGAGAATAAAAACGTACGAGACATCCGCATCAGCCTCTCCGCAATCCCCAAGCGTCTATGCGTCCTCATCACAGAAATACTCGTGATATGTCCATGGGGCACCCCATCCGTCGGCTCCTCCTCCATCTTCGCCAACACGTATCCCACTACCTTGGGGTATTGTTCTGCGGCGCTGCCGGCTCCTTGTCCTCCTCCATTCTCGGTGGTGGTGGTGGTATACTTGCTGTAGCCGTTCTTGGGCCGCACCACGGCCACGAAGGATAGTTGGGGCCAGGTCAGTGCATGGTACAGGTAGTATTTTAGAAAGTAGTTCTCGGGGAGGTTCGTGATGTTGCAGGTTTGGATCGAGGGTAGGAGGTCGATGTAGGAGGGGTAGCTGCTGAGGGGGAGGATGTCGACCATTTTGGTTGGATTGGGGTATATCCCGGAGGGGGGGTTGGTTGGTTGGTATCGGAGATGGGATTTGGGGTGGGGAGGTTGAGGTATGGGGTTGTGAATTGGCCCCCCGGGTGTGGATTGAGTAGCTTGTTGTAGTAGTAGTCTACTGTGTAAAGTGTGGTGATGATATTGAGGGCGGAGTTGGTTTGGTGGTGGTGGTGGTCAGCTGAGTGGGCGCTAGCTGGTTTGGGTTAGGGGCATCGGAGTTACTACTTTGTCGACGGAGTATATCTTTGTTGACCTGTCGAGGATAGCTACCAGCTACTTAGGGTTAAAAAAACCTGTTCATGAATTTAGTTAAACCACTAGGTTCAATTCTAACTGTACAGTCGTGAGTCATAATATAAGTGTATCCATCAACTCCAAACTCCCACTATATACGCTCGGAGCAACACTAAAATATCGATGCCATATACTGCACTCCCGCAATCAGAAGCAGCGTACTCATCACACTCACCCCAGGCATCACGCTCGTCGCGGCAGATGCTGCGCCGCAGCATTTTCCATCCCAGGTCACGTTGTTCATCTCGGCGGCCACCGCGAACACGGACCCGTTGAAGTTGCCGTAATTGTAGTAATCCACCAGAAGGAAGTTAGGCGGCCGGTCCCACATAGCTAAGAGGTAACGAGATTAGCATGTTACACAGACCACAGTCAGCTGTTACTTACCCGTGCAGTTGCGGGCCATCTTTCCCAGACTACCGTATCCGGAGACCGCGTTGGTCTGGTTGAGCGAGGCAGTATTGGGGATCAGCAGACTAATGCTGGCAATATTGATGTCGAGATTCAGGTTGTGGTTGGCCATGTACATCCGGTCTTTGGCGTCCTGCGCGGACAAGTCCGGCGGGCGCTGCTCTGTGCAAGGGAAGGCTGCGTCTGTGGGCGAAAACGGCGTCTCCCACATCTGCGAAAACTCATCCATGAGCCACGGGTAGGCCGTCTGATTGGCCTGGTAGTCCATGAAGACAACGGCTCGCTTGCCAGACAGAATCATACTGGACATCGTAGGCCAATCATCCAGCGCCATTGGGATCTTCGAGGGTGTAAACACATAGTCCATGAGACCGGAGTTCTGGATAGGACCCGTGAAGTTGCCGGGGTCTACATAATCATAGTTGCCTATCAAGATGGTGACCACGTCATATGGATGGGTCTTGACCCATTTCGTGACCGTCGTCAAGTAGTCTTCCAGAGGTCCCATGTTCAAAAGGTCGCAGCTGGTGTGACAGAGGTAGAGGGTGTTGTTGATCAGGTGTGTTTGAAATTGCACTGTCCGGGGTGTCAGCAAGATTCTATCCACAGGCTAAGCTTCGTCGATCGGGCAACTTACGCATCCGTATCCCATCGTCCAGCTGAGCGGTAACGTCCAACGCCTGGTTGGCGGCCGCATTGCCTGGCTTGACAAACGGGCTGTTGTGGGCAGCAACCATGGTGATGTTGGAGTACTTGCGCGCGCAAAACTCCGCGTGGCCATTGCAAGGCTGTGTGTTGACGACCGGAGTCGACGATGCAGTGGACGTCGCTGTTGTAGTAGCGTTGGTGCCATTGACTCCACCAGTCTGTCCTCCGACCAGCAATGTGAGAGATTGCGACGAGGAAGTCACCGTCGTGGTGAAATTTCCGGATGCTGTTGTAGAGTTGGAGGTGGTTGTCGCGGAGTGCGCCCCGGTGCTCGTGACGGTATGTCCATTGTCGAGGGTCATAGTGGTAGTGTAGGAGAGGTAGTGACCTGTGGGCAGCGTCGCTTCACTGATGGACGAAGTGACGGTCCCCTCGAGAGTCAGGCCGCCATTGTTGCCGGTCGTGGTGGTGGTGGTGGTGCTATCATCTTGTGCCAGAGAAGGCCAAACGCCCACTGCCAGGAGCGGCAGTAGGTGAGCGATCAACCGCATGACAAGAGGTGGTCTGGAGTCAAGAGGCCGGTCTGTGGAGGCTCGGAGGTTTTGGATATATATACAGCAGTTGTATCTGTCCGAGGAGGACCACACGATGCGATCAGATGCACCAGATGGAGCACCAGATGGATCAGGACCCTGAAGAAGCAGAATAATCACCGGGCGCGGAATGATGTCTTACGATGAAGTCAACCATGGATGCTGGGCTGGTAAGGTATTATTAGGTAGGTAAGGTAGGTAACAGGTATTGTTACCACGCAGGGTTTCCCGCCTTCAGGGTACTGGCTTACTTTAGGGGGGCCGATCCCGGCAGCCATTGGTTGCCACCCCCCCTGACTGTCCGCCCCGCTGTCCCGGAGAGGAAAGCTCCAAGCTGGCCAACAGCCGATCTTAGCCTGGATTTCACTGGCAGATCGCCCGCATGGAAAATCCTCCCAGTCCTTCCGGCCAATTGAATTATTTCATCAGCCCAGGCAGCCAGAATTGAAAAAGACACCAAGGGTGGGGCCCACCTGTCGATGACGTTGTTTGAGCCAGTCTTGGCCAAACAGTCACTGACAGAACCGATTTGTTGCCGAAACGCCAGAATAGGCAGTGACTTTTAATTCCAGGCCCTATGAGGGTCACTGCTAGTCTTTCTTGGCGAGTGGCTCCTGAATGTCGTGAGGATTGCCAGATCAGCCACGATCCCCACTGCATTGGGTAATCGGGAAAAACCATCAGCGGCTAACTCATGCCAATCATCACTGTATTCCAGCCCATCACCAGCCACGAACTGGGGTGGTTTTGGTGCTGGTCAACGGCGTCCACGCAGTAACAGCCCCTCGATCAACGGGGGTGATTGCTGTACTTACTTCAGATTACTTCAGAGCAAGGATAAAATCTGCTCATGATCGGCCTTCTCCACTGTCTCGTCCACAGTCAGACTGCCGCCCAAGAGGGGAAAAGAGGCAGGGCAAGGAAAGTTCCTGCCACCATCGCAAAAATGTTCCCATCAGGGTCTAGACCAGCGCCGCTGCTAAGAATACCTGCTGCGGCCCTGAGACTGAGACTTTCTCCCTGAGTAAGATTATTTTGAAGCCGCCAGCGTTACGGCTCGTGTGAAATTCTCATTGTTGTTTTTATTATTATTGTGATTATTGTTTTGATTTTATTTTCTACTCCCCATTTATTTTATTCCACATTTTCTCATTCTGGTTGGCTGCCAAGGCGTCTAACTTTTTTCAACCTTAAAGCCCAATTCAATTCCACGGCAGATCAGATCAGTTCGGTAATATATTCAGTCATCCATCTGTGTACTGCGTATACGTCGCTCTCGCCATCCACTTTGCTTTCCCTTTCCCTATTCTTTTCCCCCCATTCCCGCCATCTCTTCCTGTTCCTCGCTCCCCTTTTTTTTTTCTTTCTTTCCCAATCTCTGGCTCTCTTCTCCTGGATGTATCCCCAGCTTCCTCTCCTGATCCCGTCAACCTAATCCCGTGGTTGCCGGTGTTTCCCTCTCCGCTGGTCCTTTCTCTATCTCTCTCCCCATCGAATCCTGGCACGTGGTTCACGGGGGGGGGCGTAAACGTCATCCAGTCGATGTCTTCCCAGATCTCTTCTATACTACGTATTAGAATTTAACTAGACGCCCTGCTTTTGATCTGGGTCTCTTTCTACATCATTTCCATCCATCTTCTCCTCTATCCTCTTCGTCTATTCTCCGACTCTATTATCCGCAAATTCCGGACCTGCCCTCTCCACCACCACGTGCTTGACAGCGGTCCATGGCAAAGCTGCCCCTGTTCAGGAAAGCTCCTGGACGTCCGCAGGTCGGCCGGAGCAGATCGAAGGTGCTCTGGCATCGTATCCTCCGTTCTTTCTGCTATCTCATCGCTTGGATCTTCCTGATCTTGGTCTGCATTGGCAATGTCGCCGATAAGCCCGTTCTCCGACAGACCTACTTCCTCGAGATCAACCTGGCGAATATCATCCCATTGTCCACCCCCAATGCGGTCCTGATCGATACCATTGCTCGCACGATCGGTCTGCACGACTTTTATCAGGTGGGACTATGGAATTTTTGCGAAGGTTATCAGGACCAGGGCATCACCCACTGCTCTTCGCCCAAACCCCTCTACTGGTTCAATCCTGTCGAGATCATCCTCAGTGAACTGCTATCCGGCGCAACGAGTACGCTCCTCCTTCTAACATGGAAAACGTTCCCTTTGCTAACAAACCTGCAGTTGCTCTTCCTGCCAACATCACGTCGGCTCTGCACATCGCCCGCATAGCCTCACACTGGATGTTTGGTCTCTTTATCACCGCTACCGTCTTAACCTTCATCCTCATCTTTTTGTCTCCACTTGCCGTCTCCTCACGGCCTCCTCAAGCTCTTTCTTCCGACCCAGTCGTCAATCAAACCCACCCGCAACATCGCCGTCGAACCTTTGTGCTTCTCCGTTCTCTTCCCTTCCTCATCCTAACCTTCGTGACCGCTCTCTTCACCGTTGTTGCCTCCGTCGTTGCAACCGTCATGTTCATCATCTTCCGCAACGTCTTCACCTCCGCCAGCGAAGACCTCAACATCGACGCCTGGATCGGCACGCGCATGATGGCTTTCATGTGGGTCGCCTCCGCCTTCAACCTGATTGCCTTTATCCTCCAGCTTGGCTCCTGCTGTGCCTCTTGCTGTGGTGGCCGCAAAACCCGCAAGCAGCTCAAGCAGAATAGTGCCGGCACTGCGAGCCCTAGCAGCACAGCTTCCCCTGATGTGCGTGAGAAAGAGCATCCACACAGCCCCGCAACTACGGAGTGAGCTCTTTTTTTCCTATTCCAGACCACATATGCTCTCGCAGATTGTGGTCCCTTTTCCTCCTCTCATCCAATACCCCGAGATCCATACCCCGAATGAGCAAAATCGCCTGTACGACGATGATAAATAGAACATAAAGGTGTGAGCATCGCAGGGGCCCGCCAATATATACTGATCTGGCTATGTATACTGTACGTCTTTCTTTTTTGGTTTCCCATTCCGCTTCGGGTTATGCTGTATAGACGCGATGGATATAGACTGGGGCATATTCCAACTTAGACGGGATTCGGTTTTGGGTCTGAGTTGAGCTTGTGGTTGCCTCGCTTCCTTTTCGATACATTGGGAGGGCGCTGCACATGCCGTCCAGCTTGCATAGGTTACGATATTTACGACTCTGTTATGATATTACGAGTGTGCGTATGCTAAGTATTTCAATCCAAAGAAGAGGAGTATATATCTCAGATGAGAGTTGTAATTGACCCAGGTAATACATCTTGCTCGAGATGTAATCTAGATTTCACAAATCTTGAGACTTAGAAAAGAACCTATGATCTAAGTCCAGTTAGCGTCTTTCAAAAGACTTTTTGCCCCTACCTGTACAAAACTGGCCCTAATGATAGCCTCAGGAGTGGTCTCACTCATATATATATAATTACACCACCAAACAGTCACATAAGGAGCCCTGACTCTTGTCAACTCGTGCTCAGTAGAATAGCACTACTTAGGTATATAAATAATAATACTGGTGACACTTCTAAGGAACCCTCTGAAGTACTATTCAAGATTCACGGGACATCTCATCCCACTGCACCTAAAGTAGTAACTTGGTGCCTTCTTGAGCCTAGTCAGTACTTCATTTGTCTACCCTAGCATAGACTGGTAGGCCCATCTTGCTACATTGAACACACTCTTATGCGCGGGGACTTCTTGACTCTAATCAGTTTAAGTACTGTGGTCACACAGGCAACACCAGGAAAACATTCGCAGAGTGCTCTGCATCCACATACCGTAGAGCTCATGTCATACATATTCTACTAGATTTATATATAATTTCACATTCGAAACTTACCCTCTGGAGAAGATCTCACAATTAGCGTGAGAGTTTACTTATATTGATAATAAGGATACCTACTGCTCATCCCTTGCCTAAACAATACAATTGTGGGGCAAATACCGGTCCACTGCCTCGACAGTCGTCGACAGATTTATGTAAGTAGGGAATGGTGATAGATGACTGGAAACAATTACAACCATGAAACCGATCATACAATAAACTCATGCATATACGGATATCGAACCAGGATTACTCGCTAACATCCAATGACGCAACACAGGGAATCAAGCAAAAACCTGAACTCCAATGCAGAAGGCGATTCGCCTTCGTGCCTCCAGCCCCAAACCAGGCACCATGCTGACCATTAGCCCTGAACCATACAAGACAATTGAAAGAGAAGAAAGGTTAAAAGACGCATACATCTGCCTCTAGGCAGCTTCTTAATGTAAGACACAACTCTCAACGCGGCTCGGAATAATCGTTCAGCGCTACGCATACCGCCCCGCGGTGATGACCACTGTATTGACGGATGATCTGACCCGAAGCCAGCTCCCATAGGCGGGCGTAGTGGTCGCTGGATACTGTGACGAGATACGCAGAGTCAGCGGAGAAAGCGCAATCCCAAACCCACCGTTGGTGATTTGCAAGCGTGGTCTCTAGGAAAAGTGTTCCTGTCGCGGAGTCCATGGGGGGTCCGTCCGGTTGTACAGGGAAGGTCTGCTGGGGTTCGTTGTTTATAGGTGTCGCTGCTTGGAAGAGACTGAATGGGTTGGCTTCAAAGTCGGTGCCGTTGGGAGATGCGTGGTTCACGTGTTGCGTAGATTCCGGGGAAGAAGGGCTGTCATTCGATTCAGGTGAAGAGATGGCTCTGGCCTTGGCCTTGGCGGCATTGGCGGCGGCAATCTTGGCCGGCGGATAATCAAGGTCAAGGTTCCATACTTTGGCCGTGTGGTCTGCAGAGCACGTTGCGAGATGCTTGACATCAGGGGAGAGAAGAACACGAGTAAGGTAGTCCTTGTGCGCCTGGAAGGTACATATCGGAACGATGCGCGTTATCTCAGCGTCTTGGATCATGCGCCAGATGTAGACATTACCCTATAGACCGGTCGCTCAAAGTCAGTGATGAAGACAAGCGGCGAGTAATTGTCTTGTTTACCTTCTTATTTCCAGCACAGAGCAGGGATCCATCGCTTGCGACACTAACACTATGAACGGCAACGTCGTCCTCAGGAATCAGCTGGTGAGTGCAGACGCTTTCACCCAGGTCCCAAACCCGGACAATACCAGCGCGATCCCCACTAATGAGCTCGCCCTGGTTGGGGTGGATTACAACGTCATTGACTGGAGCTTTATGCGCGTAGTTGCGCTGCAGGCTGCCTGTACGGGTATCCCAGACTTTAACCGTACCATCTTCCGAGCTGGTGACCATCCACTTTCCCTCGCAGTGAAACGCGACGCCAGTGATGTTGTTTGTATGGCCGTCGAAGGTCATGACCGGATTGGGATTGGTAGATTTGATGTCATACAGCTTGACATTATTGTGGCCGGCGGCTGCCAAGTACCGTTTGTCGGGGGTGATGCATAAGCGATTAACTTGGGAATCGGGATGCTGTATAGTGCGCGAGCAAATCCCCGACAAGGCCTCCCAGAAACTGGGCCAAGTTAGCGACGTCAACTTTCGGGGCGCAAGTAACACAGTCTGACATACCGAATGGTGTGGTCGTAGCCCGCTGTAAATCACGAGTTATAGAACATTAGTCAGTCAATTCTTCCCAGGAAAGACACAAGATATTGGAGACCAGTTATCGCTCAGAAAACTGCATACCAGTGCAAAGTATAACGCTCATGTTGAAGGTTGTAGACGAGCCCAGAAGCAAGGACGCTGAAGAGGCGAGGAGGGACGGGGAATCGGGGAGTCGCCAGTTACTAAAGTAAAGAAGATGCGGTGCCCGTCAGCTTCCTGCCGGCCTTAAAGCCACGGCCGCCCAGCTTGGCGCCGGACACTATGTGGGGCACGTGAGCGGTCCATAGGGCGGTGTGAAAGGCGGAGAACATCATTTCGGATTAAATTTGGACGGAATGGGAATCTTTTCTACTGCGATGTACTTCTTTGCTTCTTTACTTCTGCGTGACTGACCTGACCTGGCCTTTTCTGGTCATTCTCACTCGTTCGGGGATTATATCGAGCACCCTGGACACGTGTGGTATTTCGATTTCTCCCAACATCGGCGAAACCGTACAGTTGTTACTCTCAAACCGGATTATGCAATAAGGCGCGTATCCAGTGGCTAGCCTGAGCCTGCTGACAGGCTATTTATTTGAGGCACCTGCTGGCTCGCCCTCTTATCTACTTCCCGTACATTTTTCCCGCGGGACAAGTCTCAAATCACAGTCGTTTTGGGATCTGAATACTTGCTCTCAAGAGGTACGCTTCACAGCAGTCTCGAAGCGAGGGATATCCTCATTCTTACCATCTGCAGAGCTGGGCTATGAGTAGATGGAGCGTTTCATCTCCTAAGTGTTATCGCCACCTTCCTTAGGATATATTGAACGGCATAGCACGGTACACATTCATTTGGCCGTCTTTGAACTGGGCCTGAATTTGTCGCTGGGATGAATGGAAGCATGGCTGAAGGTATTTCTACCTCTTTCCAGACCTGTCCTCCAGACCCCCATGGTCTTCATGATCTTGAGGGCCTTCCATCTCCCCCATCACTACCTCTGCACGTGAATGATCTGGGGCTTACACCTCCCCCTGGGTCCCAGCTGCAGCTCTCCACCAAGTCCTCCCAACATGAAGAACGGAAAGTGCCGACCAGAGATGTGAACGCAACGTCAGAAACCCCAGCCGATCCGCGACACTGCACACAACCGCTCGGAAATACCCACAAGGATCACAACGATGAGAAGCAAGTGGAAGTCAATGATGCACCCTCAGAAGAACAATCTCCGGCCGACAAGGTGGTCGAGTCCCGACAGTCGTGGGCAGATACCACGACCTGTTCTCCACAATTAGAGATAGACTTTTCGGCATTTGACGATTCCAATAACGCCACGGAGGAGTTGTACGACCCTCTCTTCGATTCCGAACTTGTTTTGCAGGAGATTGATGCGGTCTTGCAGCGGAAGCGAAATGGCGACGAGGCGTTCCCTGAAGACTGTGTCTCATGGGACCAATCTAGAAAAAGGCAAGCCACAGAGATGTCGCAAGATTCAACCACAGAGTCTCCGGATAAAACACCCTCGTTATTATCACTAGATTCTGGACAACCTGAACAAGGAGGCACGGGCCCTCATACGCCAAGCGATGTTGAGAAACAACAGTCCGATGCCGTCTTCGACTCTATAGACCTTCTGTTCGAAGACCCTTCGGGCGATTTTCCATTGGACATCCCTAATGGCGATGTTTCTTTCAACTTTGACATCCAGGGCGCGGGTAATGGAGAAGGAGGCAAGGAAGACATGTCAGCGACTTTTAGTGTGTTTGACCAATCCTTCGATCTGCCCTCCGTCAGCGAGATTACCAAGGAACGGTTCTCTCTTGATCATCAAGACATCGTCGACAGTACAAACCGCGAAGCTCTTCAGCGAGTGTTTGCCGAGCCAGAGTATGTCTCGCCGTATCCAGTTTATGGGGGCCCATTGGGATACATGCCGTCAGCTCCGAATATCCATGTCAGGTGTATCGAAGTTTCGGATGATCGGACAAACTTGCGCCTTGCGACTCTGCGGAATAAGGTACAGCAGCTGACGCTGGAGCGCAACAAGTATAAGCAGGAGTGGGCACTGGCGTCGGACCTGACGGCCATGGATCCGGCGACGGGTAAAACAAAACAACAGACACTACTTGAGCAGAATGCCATGCTGCGACGTGTGTGCTCCCGGCATCAACAAAGAGTCGAGCAGTACAAGCAAGAGGCTATCGAGTGGAAGAACAAGCTTCATGATCTCGGCACGATCTACAACAATCTACTATATGAGATTCAAGTTCAGAAGCAAATGCCCGCAGTTGCCCCGATTCCAACTGGATACAAACCTCCCCGGGCACGCCAGGCTAGCTCAAACGCAGCCTCGTTACAACCGTCGACCTCACAGCCACAATCCATGGCTTCTACACCAAATGCATCTGCTGGGGAGCCTATCACAATCGACCTGACCGAAGAAACAGGCGATGACGCGTCATCTGCAGCGAATCCAACCCCAGAAGAACAGGAGGAGCGCCAACGACGTGTGGAGATGCTTCAATCACTGCGGAACAAAAAATACAGTTGGCTTGGTGATGCGGACGGAGACGTCGGCAATCAGAACCTCCGCATCAGTGTAACCCCAGCGTCTCGACAAGGATCTCTAAAACCTGCGGGTGGGCCTCACGACTCCGAGCGGAGCCGGGACAACCACGTACCAGCAAGGGGCCCCTGCGAGATTGCGTCAGACGATCGGGAGGAGGAGGATGATGATGAGTTGGCTCGAATGATGGAGCAAGAATTAGCTTCGCCGATCGCCACATCCAAACCGGGTGATTGTGATGTACTCATAACCCAGGTTGGGGATAGTCCGAAGATTGTTTCTAAATGATCAAGATCCGTTAAATAAGAGGCTAGCTGTGCGGCTCTCTCGCTCTTAGAGATGTATTATAGTTCAAAAGCCTGCAATAAGCAGAATAGGAAATGAAAAGAATCAAAATAATCAATAACATTTTTAGCTGAACAAAAACTAGTCACGCTAAAGGCTTTCTCTTAGGAAGTAAAGAGTAGAGAGTAAATGTGGACGGGTAACCCTTGTGAACAATGATAGAGGCGGGAGAAATCATACGCACTGCATGCCGCAGCGACCCTAATAGCTCTCATCTCGGAGACAGCTCATACACCAGTAGCCCTTGTGCCGCAATGGGTAGCGCGTAGGACCTATAAGTATTCGGCTTAGACAATTTACTAACCAACCAATAGCTAATTTTAGGCTGTGGGTTGTGGTTCTTGTGTCTGAATTAGTACATAATATAGAAACCAATGAAGAAGTGGTGAATGTAAATGCACTGATTTGCAAGGAGTACTATTTCAAATAACTGCCAGGCCCGTTCCGGCAATAAGCAATATTATATATGCCCTTTAAAGATTAGAAGCTAGTGGATTCGTGAACGATATCAATATATACTAGACGATATCCGCCGTAGACCTATTAATCGAGCGGAACTTGCCGATAGGTTAGTAGTAGAAAGAACCCAAAGGGGAGATAGAACAGAGGGAATTAGCAACAGGCACTAAGAAAGAGAGAAGGAACTTACCGAATACAAGAATGGTCACTAAGATACTATATAAAGTAGCTTGATTCCCCTGTTGTAGACACTAGTCGTCTTTCCCTTCATTTTTGTTCTTCTAAAGTTCGCCTCTCATCACTCTGCAGTCATTGAATACAATTTCCCCCTTCAATATTGTGCCTCTTCCCTAAGCACAAAGATACCTTCACAGGGCTTGATTGAAGCGTTGTATTCCTGATTCACCAATTTACATCAAGTCTTTTATATAAATTGGCTCAACTTCCCCCTCGAGAGCAACCAACTCTTTTTCAGTTCCTACTACATCCACAGGCCTGTCTTCTTACTATTTCTTCTATAATAATGCCACTCTCATTGAACCTTTGGTTATCGACTACAATGTACAAACTTCTTCGACAGCTACGTCTCAGTAGTTTCAAGGCTCTCACGATCTCTCAGCCACACACTGCAGTCATGCAGACAACACCAGGAAGCCATTCGCATTGTTCTCTGCTTCCATCTATAATATAGTTCACACTGGCTCAGGTCATGTCCTATAACCCAGAGCGAGCATGTCAATACTGCAAGTCTTTGGCTCACATCAGCAAATACTGCCCTGAAAATAAGACTTGTGTCTATTGCAAAAGAGACCACAATATCGTCAAATGTACGAGGGTTATATACAGAAGTTACGGAACGAAAGGACACCATCAGCATGTCTGTCCAAATAAAACACATTGTATGGTTACCAAGCAGAAAGAAGGCACTTGCCACTTAAACAAATCTGCTAACCTTGTCAGAAGCTTCAAGAATTATCTTGTATCAGAAGAAGTCTTCTTTAAGAGACAGAGGACATCGGAACATCTCGATTGTATAAATAATATCTCTGTTCAGTCACCTGAGCATTCCGACAAGAGATGGTCTAACATCAATGAAGATACAAGAGATGTAAGTATATGACTGCCAGAAAATATTATCATTAGTATTAACAGTCTTAGGAGCTTATACTACAGGAAGGGTTCATCTTTCCATACCCTAAGCCACTGTGCAATGAAATGATCAGTAAGATCATCCAGGGATTACTACACGATCATCTCTCTACAACTTGACAATAACGAGCCTTGGAATATACCCTCAGGATAGGCGAGTATCGTGTATGATGACCGAAATACATCACGGTGGAGGCTATATATATATAGGTTAATGCTCCTCAACATGGAGACGAATTATATGTCAGCATGGTGCTGGTACGAACTGAAGTGAAAATTGTGAAGAAGTGATACCCGGCAGCAGTACACTACAAGTGTCCGGAAAACCTACTTGCGGTCTACACAGAGAATTACGAAGGGATAAAATATGTCTACCAAGCGAAAAAGAACACCAAACTAATATCTTCCTTCAATATGACACGTGACTCCTTTTTCCATTAATTCATGTCTTTCATATACTTGAATGGCTCTTTTTTCATGTAACTTCAGCACTGATTGCAGTGAATGCGAGCTCAAGTACCGTAAAAGTGGACCCGCTCTTCACCAAGGAGGCCCTTGTGGCGCAATCGGTAGCGCGTAAGACTTGCAAGTCTCCCCGAAACACCCGTTTACACCCAACACGTTGCTAACTATCCCTCTAGCTAATCTTAAGGCTGTGGGTTCGAGCCCCACC